AGAAAGGCGATGCATCCACTCAGTCCAATCCTCCCTTGTGCTCACGGTGGACACATCCCACGCTTGCTTCAGGTGCTGTTGGTTTACAGTCAATTTGGCCGCTTCCGCAGGTACAGAGATTTCTGCAGCCTTGGATTCGCTGAAGGAACATTAGGAACTGACGTCGTCAAGTTGCTAAAAAGAGACGCACAGCAAATCGTGAGTGCCTGGTTCTTGCGGTAGACGTTCCCCATTCAAGAGCTTCGATATCAAATTCTCATACCTAGGATGCGGTATACGATTACGTAGCAGACACTATCTTGCTGTCAATAATCCCCAAAGATGGAATAAATCAATGATACGCACCTTGTTGATAGTGGGCACGAAAATAGCAAAATCAGATCCAAGTTGGACAACTAGTGCGCACAGGGTGTCCATCACCGCCTGCCGAAGCTCGTTGTTGTTTCCCTCTAACACACGGATCAAGGGGTGAACAATGCGAGAAGCATGATCAGAGAAATTGACGCGGAGGGATAAGTGAGCTATAGTCTGTATTGCTTTCTTGCGGAGCAGAGTGGTAGCATCTGGTCGTTCAGCAGACTTGACAATAACGGGGATGACAAGGTGAAGGTACTCTTCAATATTTGCCCCGAATGTGAGGAAAGAATCAAAAATCTTGATTTGAGTAGCCATTTTCTTCTCGAGGTCTCCCTCGAAGACTTTGAGAAGATGAGGCAGGATAGTCGGCAGAAAGGGTTTGAACTCGGCGTCCAAAGCTTTACCCAGTGCCTCAATCAAGGATACTATGGGAAGCTGAAGGGAAGCGTTCTCCCAGAGCTCCGTCACGAGGCTAAAGACCTCTGGCATATAATTGCGGATATGTTGCTTAATAATCCCAACCAGAATAGCTAATTGCTGCAGGTGAAATTCTTGCAAACGGGCTGTTGAGGTGCGAGCCACAGCAGTAAAGGCAGGAATAATCTTTCGAAATATTTGGGTCGGTCCAACATTTGGTTATGCAGCAGCAAGAGAACTGATGCACGCACCTGCGGTAGGAAGGCCACACATTTCAACCCTTGCGTCCTAAAAATATTCATGATCGCTTCAATGACCGTGTGGTGATGATTGCTAAGTGATTGATCCTTCAAAACAGCCAGGAGAGACGTGATCACAACGGTTTGGTAGTAATCGTCGCTGCCTGTCACCGACCCTGTCTGAGAAATGGCAACAGCATTGACAGCAGGAAGTGGCGTTTCATTCGTAACTTCCTCATCCGGTCTCGCCTAAGGATATGTTAGTGAATTGAAGCGAATAGACACATACTAAACAAACCTTTCGCCTGTATGGATCCAGAGCTCCAAGGATACCGAGGACTTTGACCACTTCTCTGACAACCTCACGGCGTGCATGCGGGGCAGATTCGCTTCTCAGAATACGTCCCAAGATCGGAAGCAACTGAGGATAGTCTACCAGTGGTGTTATGACATACCCGGTGCTAGAACACAACTGGCCAAGAGTGTGGAGAGCTGCGTCACGCTTGACATGAGCAGGGTCAGAGAGTCTGGAGATTATAACCTGCATGAGCTCTGGGATATGAGGAGCCACATCTTCTCCGCCAACAGCTGCTAGTTCCCCGAGACACATGAGAACATTTGCAGCTACAGCCGGGTTGCTATCATTCGCCTTCTGCAGCAGGACGCGGAGCATAGGGAGTGCATATGGCTTTATAAGACGTTGGGTCGCGGCCACTAAGAGAGTGAGCAGACGGGTGCAGTCTTCGCGATTTCGCCTGTAAAAATATTCATGATTTATTCTAGGTCATGAGGATAAACGAACGCACATCACAGTTGAGTATTCTAACTCTGTCAATAGTTGTATGAGGGCCTTGCGCAAGGAGGGCATGACATAGGCAGGGTTGTGCTTGGCAAGGCGTCCAATCAAAGTGACAGTGGTAACACGATTCTCGAAGACTTCATCATTGAGGGCGATAAAGATTGACCTGACATTCTCCGCTTGCGCCAAGTGCTTATCAAACCTTTCATGAAGAGAAGACAGAACAGTTTGCCGAATTGTAGGGTCTTCAAGTAATATTGATCATGTGAGGTGGCATGTAGGGGAACAAATGAACTTACCTGGGTCTGCAATGCCTACTGTAAGAAGTTTGTCGAGAACGTCACTGATAATTTCAATCGCGTGACTACTCGCTTGGTAGCAAATTGGATCCCTGACGAACAGCTTGCAACAAGTGAGAGCACCAGCACGTCGAACGTCTGCATTGTCGTCTTCCAGATAAGGAAGCGCGGCATTGCGGACAAACTCGTTCAAGATATGACCTGTTCGTGTTGAGTACACTATGTTAAATAACAGCAGGTAGCTTACCACTGAAGTCAAAGGTGCCAAGCGTGGACAACGCAAGTGTGATGAGCTCAGGACTCTTACCGCTCCTAGTGGTCTTTGCGAGTCATGCTTAGTATGATCAACAGAAGCGTCAAAGAACTCACCTGAGATGAGCTCAAGTCTCTCGTAAATGCAGAGACGTCACTCCTGACAAGGGAAGATGGAGCTCCGATAGCTTTATAAGGCTGTCCACATAAAATCATGGAAAGTAGATCCAGTAGACGGTCTGACGATGTATTTGTTTTAATAAGAATGTCATGTGTGGTGTCAACTGACACACCTTGAATAGTCTTTAGCAAAGGAGGGATATTACGTGCAATAGCCATTAGCGCCTGTCTAAGATGCTCACTCAGGCCACACGCAAAGAATAAATCAAGTTGATCATGAAGAAGCTTGGTGAGGTTTGGACCGACAGCCGAAGCAAGCATTCCGACGCATTGGAAAATAGGTTCTTCAGAAGGAGCATTCTTCTTTCTGTAGAAAGAATTCTGATGACTGCATATAACACTCTATATAAGACGTACCCCCTGGCTTGTAGACCAAATTTAATTTGAGCCATGATAGAGTCAAGGAAAGGTTTCATATCACTTCCTACGGCAGTGGCAGTGTGACCGATAGCGATGAATGCTGACAAAAACAAATCAATATGTAAGATTTTGATTGATAAGGGAACGCGAACCAAAAGACCTCTCGTTTGGCTTTTCCAGCTGTGTTAGAAGATGTCCCATGGATTTGTGCAGGTGATGTTCCGAGAAAACCTGTGTTTCGTAGGCAGCGAGAGTCGGGATTAGGGTGATGACCATCTTGCGAACGAGACCGTCTCGATGTGATTTGAAACGAAGAATTTGTTCCGCAGTATCCAAAAACGATTCTCTCATAAACTGAAGGCAAATATCATTCAAGTGCAACGACGGTGCTGAAATCACTTGCCATATCGCCATGCAACAACAATTCTCGGTAAGTGAGAAGAGATCCATGAATAACCTCAGGCTGTGACATTTTGAGTCCCAATTGCGCATCCTGGAGAATCTTCATGAGGTAAGTCGTACGTGTTTGCCGTTCACGTGTCGTAACAATCTCAAGGCATGCAGCAAGAAGCTCTGCAGCTCCTTCTCTGACAATGTTTCGAGAGTCCCGAAGAGGTATGAGTATCTTGTCGAATACGAGGCTGATGTGGGAATGAAAATATATCGCACTGTTGCGTGCGAGCTCCTTCAAGATAAGCACTCCGGCATAGCGGGGAGACTCCTGCTTGTCACCCTGTAACAGTTCCACTGCGGCTGGAACTTCTAAATCCATGAAGCGTTCTCCGAAGTCGGCCCCGCCTATTGCAGCAATTTGGCCGAGTGTTTTGGATGCTGCCAGCATGATGTTGACATCATGATTTGGTAGTAGCTGCTTGACGTAGTTGTAAAATCGAAAGAGGTACTTCTTTGAACCAATAGTGTCTTCTCCTTCACTTTCAAGGAGGTGATCTAAGTGACATAAGCTCTATGTTCATGGCACCATTACGTTCGAACGCACCTATGGCGAGAAGTCCGCCTAATCTGTCTACATTATTCTGGCTGTGCATTAAATCGAACAAGCGTTTGTTGATGTCATCATCCCAAAGTTTTGCTACCGCATCAGATGGCATTTCTGTGACAGTCATTGCAACCTGAAGAACCATGAGAGGTGACTCGCATGTATGAACGATGAACGCACATAACGACGCAACTCTGTTGCAGCTTGCAATCGAGCATCGTGGGCGGGATTCCGCAGGCCTTGAAAGATCTGCCCGAGGTGATCCGTGTGGGCATACTGAGTTACAGACGTCATACTTGTCGTCGCCAGCGTGCTATATGTTCTACTGCTGCACCTGCAGTCCGACTACAGGATCGCAACACGCTGTGGGCACTGGAGACCTTTAAAGAGAGAAGACTATTTACGGCAAGTGATCCGTCCTGTTTACGTCTATTGAATTCTAAAGATTATCACCATAAGGCTCTTGCATGATCAACGTTACATGCATTCTTGATGCTTGACCATGGTATTTGGAGGAACGACTGGTTTTATTCGTCTATCTCTACGAGCTTCAGCTTCGAATTTCTGCTATTCGATGGCCTGGGTACTTGCTAACAGTCTTCCACAGCCAAATTATTCTCAACCATCACGGCCTGGTGGTCTAGTAGTATGATTCCTTGTTAGGGAGGTAGTCAATTTCGAGGAGGTCCCGGGTTCAATTCCCGGCCAGGCCCTGTTTTTTTCGAGGGTCGGAGGGTAGGGTTGTACAAGCGATCTTAGACTTACCGCGGTGCTTGAACGTTTGGCACGCGAATATGTATAAGTAATAGCATTGTTTCTCGATAATCCCTGACCGAAAATGATTGTATTGTGTGAACAATTCAGTCGAGTGATATATATCAATTATGTACAATTGTTCGCGATATCCCCGATTTGCGTGGCTCGTATTTTGGCGTCGTGTGCCGTACGTGTAGATATCACAGAACCGGTTTTTACCCGGTGGTCTTGATCCCTGAACGTTGAACTTGAGTTTACGAGTGTCAGGATTTCTAATTTTTTTGCTCTCTGAAATGAGTCGTGGAAGAGCGTTACTGTAATATAGGCCAAGAATAGGCCCTTTGTCGTATCATGCAGCGGCAGTAATTGAGCATGCTATAATAGCCACTCCGCAGCCCAGTACTGGGCGCAACTCATGCGCAGTTTCATTGTGCTCGGGGTCCACGTCCCTTGGTAATGTTAAATGAACAGCTGACTCTTGAATGCACCGCTGTCAAAATCATGATACTGCAGAGCAAAGAAGAACCGCAGCTACATACCGCTAGTATGTCCATTCAAGATGACGAGGAACCTTCACCATCCCATCATGATATTCCAGATCATGACCCTCCGCCATACAGTGGTTTCGAAACTTTCGAGTCAGGTTCTGTTGACACGATAGGGCTCGCCGATCATGATGCTCCCATAATGAAGGCCATTCGGCTGGAAAGGCGCCATGAGTCGATATCCGGTGAGCATCGCTTATGTGGTATTTACCCCTGCATTTGTCTTAAGGGAGTTCCGCTCGTGCAGGAAAGTACATCATTGACCCTGATGAGTCAAGAGATGAGCCATCCGTTCTACAAGGCTTTGCAGCCAGGCACAGTGACCTAGTAGGACTAAGGAATGCAGCCGGATTTCACTCTGCAGCGCCGCATGCCGTCTTTCGCAATCGGTTCGGATCCATCTTTCTGAATCTAGCAACCAAAGGATCGTCAGAACAATGCCATCGGACAATAGTTGACGTTTCGACCCGCCATGGGGATATTGCCGTTAACTTGGTGAGTAAGAATTTAAACGGCATTATCATAACGTTGGGTCTTATGTTTCTGAAAATAGAGTTCTGTACATCCTGGTAAACGCATCACGCTAAAGGTAACTTCCCGAAGAGGTGAGTTGGCAGTACTAGTAGTTGGCGCACACGGAAGGTCCGATAACTTGTGCCGTGTTCTTCGGATTCCACATGGGAAACCATGGAAATCTCCTGAATCTGTCTCTTCTATGCCACGCATCGACATGGATACTCAGCTCCTCTTCTACGCCATACTTATTTGCAATCTGTGCTGACATACTTTACCAGGCAAGATGGTAATACTGCTTCCGCCAACTTTTTGCGGGGACGTGCAGATACACGGTAGCAAATTGGGTGGTTATGACATTCTTCCAGGACTGTCCAGCAGCATCCGCAGCATGAGCGGGGAGAAGAGAAGCACCTTGTTACTCATCGGTGACAATGACAATACTTCAAACACTGAAAGGAGTAAATCCATGGATCACTGTTTTCTCTCCTCGCGCCACGGAAGGATTGTCCTAGGTTTGAGCGGGCAAGACAGCATGCCTACACCAGGAGAGGATAACATTTGGAGAAAAATGGGTTCCTTTTTCCGCGGTGGTGAAAGTACGGGAAGTTCTTTGCAGGATCTCACACGACGTCATTGACCTCACGACCAGGTTCTTGAGATTGTGTAGATACACACTAAGTATCAGATGAACGTGAGCAATCATACGCGTAGACTTACCTAACTCCGATGCTACCGGAGTATGGATCTCACTCTATTCCGCGTTCGATATGCACCAACTGTCAAGCGCCGAATAGTTGATAAACTCATGTTACCAAGGACCCCATTTAGTGACCCCCCACCCCACTCTTCGCTACCACTTTATCGCTATCCATCTGATGTCCTTAGACGCCTCTGATGTCAATCACCATAGCGGCGGGTGCCTCTCTCTAAGACGCTTGTTCAAGCTTAAACCTCAACGCATACCTAAGAGTTTCACCACACAGACGAACTCATCCCATATATGTGATCAGACGCGAAAGGCATCTAATTCAGACAGGGACGCTGATATCGTATGTTCTATCTTTGCATCATCTTGTGCGCAACTTACCCTTTGCCCAACATAGACTGATCCGACCTCACGCGTGTTTTATGATACCTGCTGTGACTTTGGAAGCATATTCAACACTGCAGCAGGCCAGTGGGAGGCTCCTCCCGTTTATTCAGACCTACCTTCTCCTAATGATTCTATACGTGGAGAAATAAGGCATACAATCGAAACTGCGGTCGATACACTTGATTCGTCCCTGCGATTGCTCAGTCTTCAGATTCATAGTGAGTTCGTCAGTTCTGGACTCGTTCAAGTTTCTGACTATGAGATACACAGGCCACCCAGAATTGATGTTTGAAGAAATGTATGCAGCATGTGTATCCCTCGTGCATCTCACTGATGGAATTTTCATAGATTTGCTCACAAGCTACTGTCGGATTATATGGAAAGCCATGGGTTTTCTGTGACGAGGCATTATCTCGGCCTCAAGACTGCTTGGAGGGCTGAATATACCCACGGACAGGGAGGCAGAACCATTGGGATTAACTCGGAGATGGATGCGTTACCTGAAATTGGGCATGCATGCGGCCACAACCTCATTGCAATCAGTGGGGTAGGTGTGGCATTAGCCATAAAATCCGCACTGGAAACCTACAACGTTCCTGGCACTGTCGTTCTTCTAGGAACGCCAGGTAACGAGTTTGAATTCGGCCCGACATGAAATACTAATTTCTCCTTCAGCTGAAGAAGGCGGTGGAGGAAAGATTATCCTGCTTGAACGAGGAGCCTACAAAGGGATGGATGCTTGCTTAATGTCCGTGTACCACGCTGGATGCATTCGGAACATCACTGATACGTGCGTGGCCAATTCAGGTGTCATCCTTCCCCAGGGCCCGAGTTGTCTTCGTTTGTGGTATCTTCGTTGGCGATGCAATCTATAGACGCCGAATTTTTTGGGCAATCGTGGGTCCCGTGGTTCGTATATGATCTCATGGGTTAATGCGAAACAGCGCTCATGCTGGAAATGCTCCATGGGAAGGTGCCAATGCCCTTGATGCCGCGTTTTTGGCATACTCCAGCGTATCCGTGTTACGACAGCAGATCAAACCTGACCACAGAGTCAACGGAGTTATAAATGGCAGCGAGAGAGCTGTGAATGGTACAGTCTATCAACTTCTATCATTGAACATAGATAACAAGCGAGCCTTTTACAGTGATCCCTGACTACGCCAAAATGAGGTGGTATGTCCGAGCTCCGACACGACACCAGTTAACGCAACTGACGGAAAGGGTGTCCGCCTGTTTTAAGTCAGCCTCTATATGATATCTGTGTGCGGTCAACGGCATCTTACAAGGTTTACAGGGGTGCTGCGTTGGCGACTTCCTGCCGTCTCAAGATCACGAAGAACACGCCTTATTACGACTTACGGCAGAATAGCATCCTTGGTAAGTCGTTTTCTAAGATGTTTTCCATTAATCAATATAATTTATACTAGTATGCAGCAGGTGCCTTCTCTCACACGATATGTCAAGAGTATGGCATGAATGTCGGGCAATATCCCTCAGGGGCATCTACGGATTTTGTATGTATTTGATACATAGCTTCCCAACACATACGCATTTGACTCATCGCCTTCTAGGGCAATGTTTCATATGGCAAGTCCCGCATCTTTCCAATGGAAAAGTTGTACACTGATTGTATTTTTAGCCTTGCCTTCGCTACATCCAGCTTTTGGTATGTTGTGTGGTGCGACTATCTCTACGTGACTTATCTGACCGTACTCTGTACGTACACTAAAGCCATCCCTACCCAGCCCAATGGGGGAAATCACTCGCCAGCGTTCACTGATTCTGCGCGAACCACGGAAGCCCATAATGCATGTATGCTTACCACCAAGGCCTTGGCGTGTACTGGCTTCCGTGTCCTGGAAGACAAAGTTTTTTTCATGCGGGTATGTGTGTTACCTATTGGTTGATCTCCATTCGTGTTCAGCGTCAATATGACAGGTACGAGAGGCATTCGAGGTTAGCATGCGATGCAATCCATAATGGAGAGTTTATGAGAGCGTGTACGTTTAGCATGAAGTTCAGACATAGGTAAATACCGCACCACGTATATGTACTTATATGGTAGAGCATCACAGAAAGATTCGATAGTCGTTTGAAAGAATACTCGTAAAAATCAAAAGCAGTCCCGTCCCAAGATCCAATCACATCGTGCATGAGCCCTTGCTCACTTCACCCAAACCCCGGCTGTCTCAGCACTACCGTGTCCCTGAATCTCTCTCAGCATGTTCTTTCATTGGGTGCTCGCCTTCATTCGGTAGCGTCTCGGGCGTCGTGTTGCCTTCTCCTCGGGCTTTTCCACGTAGGTGGTGATGCTTTGATTTGCCCTCTGCTGCTTCCGCGACCATTCTAAAATAGAACGTCAACGTGAGTGCAAGTCATCGCGAATCAACTTGGAAGCCAAACGCACCGCTCAAGTTCGCGTCGAACCTCGTCACTCTCATCGGGAACCGTGCTTTTGAATATATGACCCATAATCATCAATCCCTGACAAGGAATAAGATAAGATTGATGACATGTCAACGTTTAGATGTAAATATGGCAAAATGACACACCTTCGCGCGGTGGAACAAAACCTGATCGGACGCCTCTTTATCTTTGAGCACATTATCCACAACCTGAATAGAAACGGTTCAACTGCTGTGCATTTGTAAGTGACCCTTGAGCGTACCTCCCGGAGAACCTGAACGACTTCGAAACGCGTGCCTCGCCAAGACGCTAGCATGATCTAGTGCGTGTCAACTTATCTCGTGAAAAGATCGACTGTGTTGCGAAGCACACGAACCTTGCCTGTAACATCCTCTTCTAGTGCACGCATCACATCCTCATCGAGCTCCCCTTTCTTCTGTAAACGGTCCATCTCGGACATGAGAGCCTGCACACTAAATCTGTTTTACGAATGTCGTGAACATGTGAACAGGACAATATAGATGAAAAACGAACGCGCTGCCTATGACACCCCATGCGTCTTTTGCAACTGAACCCTTTTCCTTCATTCGCGACCAGAAACCTGCACTACGCCACATAAACAAGTCTATAAGGGAGCCAACAAGAGAGCTACTCACATCCCTAAGAATTTCTTCGACTTCATAAACGAAGTAGCCTTCATCATGTATACAGTCCCGATTGCATGCAGCAGCTGTCAATCGCCCACTTAGCTAATTCGGAACACTGATGCACACCAGCTACACAAACCTCAACCCCAAAGCTCTCCAGCTTTAAATCATCTGCTTCAAGTCTCATCCGTGATTCGAACGCCTTCGTCTCAGGATCTTCCTTGTCGCCAGGTGCTTTCGCATCCACGAAGGGTCGTAACCGCTCGATTAGCTTCGCAGTGAGCGTCTTTACTCGTTCATCCATCGAACGTTTACGTTCATCATCAAGATCCTGGAGCTTCTTTTTCTGCTCTGGCGTGAGTTTATTGCGCTTCTTATCCTTCTCTTTGCCATCTTTGCCGCCATTAGAAGAGGTCGGTGACCCCACAACAGACTGGCGCTTCGAAGCATGGTCAGTGGGACTGGATGTTGATGCAAATGGTCCATGCGTCGATGGACCAGCTGAGGAAACATGCGGTTCGTGCGACACTGCTGCTTGTGGCAGGACACCCTCTTTCTCAAGCTCGGCACGTTCCTCGTCGGTCATCACTGTTTGTGCCACGGACGTCATCTCCTTCATTAAAGATATCTCGCCGATCTGCGTGTACCACCGCAGTTGGTCAATAATGCAGTTAGGAGTCAATGAATTAAGAATAGGTCTCGAGGGTAAAGCAGGAAGAGACGCACATAATCTCTGAATCGCTCTCCACCAAACACGTTTGCAAAGAAACCCGCTGCGTCATCTAATTCTGTACTCTCCTTGTCCACCTAAACCATAAACTCACATCTGAATGTCAATTTTGTATACGTTGAAAGGTAGACACACCATAGTCTTCCCATTCTTGTCGTAGACCGCTCTCAAATTCTAATCGTATCTCAGTTTGAATTCAAATCATCAGAGTAGAAGAAAGAGGCGTACAGCATCTGATAGCACCTGATACGCTTTACTATGTCTCATCAGCTCGCAGCCAATCCATAGACGACTAACCATAGACGTACCTTATATCCTTGAATTTCTCCTCCGCACCCAAAGAGGAATTTTTGTCTGGGTGATACTACAGCAGATATGTGAGGTGAGACGTCTTGCTGAAGTGAGACTAAAGAGGAGCATACGCACTTTCATTGCTTGCTTCCTGTATGCCTTCTTGAGGTCTGTATCGTTAACATCAACGGGGACATCCAACTATGCCGCTGGTGGTCAATGCTCGCTGTAAGAGGTGTAGAGTTGCTGCGCACCAAGTCATAGTATTCTGTTTCGACTGGTGCCATTTTAGAATTATCGGTGCGTCGTTTGCCTCTATAGTACTAGTGTGGATGGTTTGTCTATAAGATTGAAGAGAAGGGGAACAGATGAAGAAGAGTCCGAGAAGCAAGGGGGATAAACGTTAAGAACGTCACTGACTCCGAAAGACATAAACACAGCCACAAAACCTGTAAACGATGGAAGAAGCGGACTTGACCGAAATATCAATGGAAGTTCTTCTCAAGTTCTTCAAGTTCTTGTTAGAAAACGTGTAAAATTGCGATCTCGCATTAGAACAGACATGATGGATAATGAATAAAAAAATCCAGTGCTACAATGGGGTGGAATAAAATAGCGAATGATATGGACCATCTACATCCCTTGAAACGCTGGGTAAACAAAGTGCGAGTTAATGATATGAAATATGTAGCTGGCCAGACTTTCGCGCAGCAAAGTAGTCTGCCTCGAGATGAATAGATAATTATGAGTGCTTCACTTCATTTTCATCGTCCAATGCAAGCACGCTGGTAGAAAATCGCACTGATTTTCTTGGGGTTGTTGGGCGGGTTCCATCACTTGTCCCTGATGACGCTTTTGGTGTCACACGGGCCGGCAAGGATGCAGATCGGTACCCGAATATCAACTTTGACATACGGTGCCTTATGGACTGCAGGGACCGCAGGTCATCGGGTGTTGCTGGGCTTGCCGAGTTGATCGTAGATGTAGAGGGAGATGGGCGAATTAATGCAGTTGAGGTGGGAGGAGGACAATTTAAGGTAGTGCTAGTGCTTGTTTTTTTGAGGGAAGAGCGGGAAGGGGGTGGTGGGAGGCTGTGTGTGGGACGATGCAGTGCGGATGAGTCGCGGGGGTGTCTTATATGAGAGGGTGATGAGGGCGCAGAATGCCGGTGGTGACACAGATTTCGCAGATGAGGTGTGCAGGATACATGAAGACCCATTGCAATTTGTTCAATGGTAGGACGGGAAACTGCGGAGTCTGGGTATCTCGCGTGCATTCGTGGATGAACATAAGGGTTTCGTTCTTCTGGGGTAGAATACATGCCGCACTGCACAGTCGAATGATGAGAGTCGGTTGGAGCAAACAATGATGCTCGCTTACTAGGTTGTTGGCATGCCGTTTTCTCGGAGAAGTTAGAATGGTATGGCTGATGGACTTGCGTATTGAGACAAAGAAGCGTGAAGCAGTTTCACTAAGTCCAGTTGCAGGACTCTGGCGTGATTGAGGTTTGTCGTTCATAGACACATGCGAAGAAGACACTAGGGTGTTCATCATAGATCGAATTGGTATGAGAAGAGGGATGCTCCAAGATCTGCGTGGTGGCTCGTGCTCGTGTGCGCGGTGCGCAGCCTGAGTAAGTGATGTAATAAATATCGTGGTATGCGTTATTTTGGCCCAGCAGCTGGGGTCCGACGTTGATGTGAATCATAAATGCAAGCAGGAACAACTCGAAGTATTCCGGGATCTTGTATCACCCGGTCAAGTAAATATTATATTATACAACTTCGATCGCCGACCTAATAAGGCGCTATAGCCAAGTGGTTACGGCGACAGATTAGAAATCTGTTCCTCTTTGAGGGCGCAGGTTCGAGTCCTGCTGGCGTCGAAGTCTTCTTTTTGTTTAAATGTGGATGGCGGAGTGCTAAATACGGATGAGTCACCGATTCCCATAACAGTTCGGGGTTCGAACTGCACCGTCTGAACTAGAATCTACCGCTTAGTACAAGGTAAGAAGTTAGTTGAACCTGCGGTTAAGCCGGTCCTTTTTGCACTCAATATATATATCAATTTGTGTACTAGGACTGTTTTGAATAAAGACTGAGTACTAAGTTAGGACAAAATCCATCAATTAAGCATGAACAAAAACAAAGTGCAAATGTTGAGTTGTCCGTCAGCCGCCAAGCGGACGGCTTCAGGATCATTTGGAGTTCAACCTGAGGTTCAAACTGTTTGGTCTGTCAGCCATAAGTGATTTATCCTGGGAATGACGCCAAACAAGGGTGTTAGGCTCCTTTGGTCATCCCACTATGGTTGAAAGCAGGATATACCAGAAACAATACTGGTCTACAGTTCTGCCTTGTAAGTACTACATATGTAGGGTGTCTTACAGATATTATTTGCGTGAAGATCATGAGGCACTCAAACTCATGAACTTCATCTATGGAAACCCAGCTAGCATCTGCCAAGTTTTCTTGTCCCCAATTTTATTTTGGCATACTCTGATAGACACTATTGCGAGATACAAGTACAATTATCGCTGACCCATTACGCTTTCAAACCACTTGCTTCAGTCTCACGGTGAATCTTTTGTGCGAGTTGGTGCGCACAAGTGGTTGGTGTTTGTTTTGGTTCTCAAACTGATTGCCTCATTGCAGCTACGTGACAGTCATTGGCAACAACACAAGCACACTATCAGTTTTTATTTGTGACAGTTTGAATCATTTCTGTTGGGCAGGCAGGAATTCAGACCTTGGATGTGCAACCTCTGCCCATTTGGCCATTTTAGTACGGTCTTTCTCCATATTATGACCGCTAAATTTTCTCACTGTTTCAGATTTCAGCATTGTTTTGCATGTGAGTTGAAATGTGGTTCAAGGCACTACAGAAGTGGTGGGGAGACTCATGAAGGACAGCAGACTAGTCTTTGTATGTTTGTTTGACTGTCTGGTCACACATCAAGCTGACCTACCCTTAGATATATCAAACATACCATTGAACTCAATACCCACTGCTACCAGAGGCCGGTCATCCAAAATCCATTCATGATTGATGTCATTATTCCAGAGGCTTACATTGGGGCACATGGATCCTCTGTCATTACTACTGCCACCTTGAAGCAGAATGCTTTGGGAAGTATGGAGGACATTTGGAGGCTCGTTTGAGGGAGCAAGCAGCTGTACATGGACCTGGCATTTTTGTTAGAATTTTGAATTGGACATTCTGTACACTATAGCTAGTTTTTTTAATATAAATCCTGCATAATTCCAGTACTGCGCAAACCTGGGCATGAAGATCAATGTTACTTGGTAACCAGTACTGTGCAAATCTGGGCATGAAGATAAACACCATCCAGTAATCAGTATTAAGCCAATCTGAGCATGAGGACCAACTCTATATAGTTCTGTTAAGCTAATCTTTATGAGTGAAGGTTTGGTGAGGTGGATGCACAGGCTCCTCTGGGACTAACATCAGTTCTAAAACCATTAAAATTCTCTATTATATAGCACATTGACCCTCATGTTTTGGAATAAGCAGTATGCAGGTTTCAATCGCCCTCGTCCCCTAGATAAAAATAACATTGCAACTGGTGGCTGAAGTTGAAAATGTCCTCAGGTTCAAACCACATCACCTGTGGGACAAACACCACGATAAACGAGCTTGAGTCTCACAGCAAACATCGCACTTTAGATTCAATCATACAGAGGTGCACAGGTCCTTTTTACACTTCATTTCAGTCTGAAATTATCCTGTTTACAACTATTGTAGGCTAAACTCAGGTGCATCCAACCGTCTTGGTGTGTAGGCTACCGACATCTGAACTGTGGCTAGTGTTGTTGGCAAAACAGCCGAGTTTTGCCAGGTGGTTGTGTCAGACCAGTTGTGCCCGGCGGTCGGCAAAACTCCAAATTGCGGAGATATAACTTAGATATAATAAGATTTACTTTAAATCCAATAAAACATAAAAATCAACATTCCTAGAGCAAGATTGCAAAACGGTGGAAATGGGACATAGTTATGGCAAAAAAACTCTCTGATGACCTGCAGGCCTATAATCAGTCAGTCGCTCCATTTGCTGGTGGCCAAGCAGACGACCTTTCTTGGTGGCAAAACCTTCCAATCAATTCCGAACTCCACCCCCTCAAAGCCTTTGCCGTCACAATCCTCTCGATTGTAGGGCATGCGGGCGAAGTAGAGTGCACATTTTCCGATCTTGGCACAACACAATCTGCATGGCGGTGTAATCTGTCAGTTGAAATATTCGAGACACTCGGCAAAATTCATGCAAACCTTCGACACCACAGCACCATAAAAGTGGCTGAGGCTGGGAAGTCCACTCGCTGTCGACATGCTCACATGCACACTTGTGAAGAGGTTGGCATTGCTGTCAAGACTGTGCAGGATCTTGAAGCATCCTTTGCATGGACACCTCCACTGTCAGCTGAACCTCGTGACACAGATGACCTGCTTGCTGGTCCAGAGAGTATCTCGCCCAAGGATATTGCTGCCGAATTTGCAGCTCTCAAAGAACTGAAGCAGAAAGACTCAGAAGTTCATAACATTGACAGAGTTGAAATTTCCAGGCGCATAGAAGCTTCCTGTGATTGCCCTGTGTATAATTACCAATTGTGTGATAACAGCGTGTTCAGACATGCCCACATCAGTGGTATATCTTGAAGCTATATAGTGCTTCATAGCACCATGAAGCACTGTAGCAAAACCTGGCTACAGTAATTGAACAATGCTACGGTAGCAGACGGTAGCTCGCGTAGCACACAGTAGTTAACGAAACTAATACATTTATAGTTAAATTGAATTTTTGAGTTCATTCAACCGATTTTGCTCAGAACATCTCGTCAATCAAACACTTAGATCATATTGTGACAATCATTATGAAATGCAAGAGGGAGTAATAAGATTATCTTTAACACACTGTAGTGGTAGTACAACGACTTGAACAGCAATGAAACAACTCGGTGAACAAAAAGAATAGCACTATGCTTATGCTGCGGGGCCGCCCCAGCCCGTACCTGACATCCCGCTATTACTCCAACTCGAACTCCCGTATAGATACTGATCAGAGTCAGTTAATAAGGGAGGATAATACAAAGGCCTGGGTGCCTGCAAACTCGCATTTGGATCATCTCTAAGATGCCCAGGTGAGTACTGCAGTCCCACCGAAAAGTGTCGAAATGATGTTGGCGAGTTGGCGATGGCATTATCATCACGGTCATCATCGCACTGGAACCATGAAGTCCCTGTCAAAGATGATGAAGACACAACAGGAGGGGAAGTGTAGTCGAATGTCGATGAGGGTACTGAACCCGATGAGGAGTTCGAGAGCGGCAGCGATTGCGTCATGGATGGGCGTCGGCAGTACAACTCAGCAGTAGTAGATGCAACATAATTCATGGTGTTTTTTGAGGGCAACATTTGACCTGTGCGTGTACGAAGCTTTCGTCTGTAAAAAAATGGTCAGTATTTGCGATGGTCACTACAATCAACTTACAAGCATCTATTGTGATGCACTTGCATGCATGGCATGAATTCATATTTGTTGAGCTCCAGTGTCACAGCATACTTCATCATGGCCTCACAAATTCCTCCCACCACTTTTGAGTAATTTTTGGTGGTGAACTGGAGGACATTCTTCGTCTTGGAGAGCCGGCCTTCTGCGGTGCGACAGATGACGCACATTATCTACTAACTGTTAGTTTTTGTTCGAAACAATGAAGCCATCACTCACTGCAGCGCCTGTTATTAAATACATATGCCATAAAATGGACGATATCAATGACTGTGACTGCAGGTCGAGGAACGGCGGGTTATGCCCAAACCAGAAATCTTCATGTAAGTCGAAAAACGGAGGTGCTGAATATACCAGAATTTTTCCCCTGTCAGGATCATAGCCGTGAAGTGCGTATTTCGACAGGTTAGTGTCGTCGAGTAAGAGGGTCGTGCGTTCCTGCACATACACGTCTTTCTCGTCATCAGACAACCCACAGTCAGTGGGAGGGTACAAGTCCAGTGCCGAAATGATTCGTTCGGTTTCGTTTACTAGTTTACCTCAGATGGTAGACAACCTGTTGAATATGAGTTTGTTGATTGTGTCTGTAGACTGAGTGACTATGCAAAATGTTAGTGTTAGTTTGAGTACCAGCACAAAGATGTACCATGGCCAGACACCATGGAGGCTTGTAATATACATTCCGAGGCCACTCCATTGAGCTCACTAGTCTTTTTCTACCTGCTTTCTAAGACCATGTCGAGTACGATTAGCTTCCGGGCATGTTTGATGTTCTTTTGATCGTTATCAGAGTAGAATCTCATGTCAGTAGCTCTGAGTTCTGACTTTGAGCTCGGTCTGGGCGCTCATCAGCATCAAAGATGCTTGCTGAGGCTCTTGAAGTGTGACGGCTGGTAGTGCGTGATGATGGGATGGAGTATGGCCTCAAACACTCCTGGGATGGGAGCTGGGAGCTGCGTTGGTGGCCTTGGTGTTCAAGTAATGTATCTGTAGGAGCCCCACTAGTCTGAATAATGATAATATAAGTTAGAAAAAAATGAGACAGAGAAATAAGGAAACATCACCTCTATCATCGCAGCTGCTGATCTGAGTCCATGTCTCACGATGCTGCATCAGACCGGATTTGTGTGAACCCGCAGTGACTCTTGAGACAAAGCTCTGCTTCACATATGACACAAAAGTTATCGCCAGAAATACTTCTAATAATGTAACATTCCTGCAGAATGCACAAATATGACTAGAATGATGGTCTCTAGTTGGACTAAAGACTTTGTCCACTCCCATATTCTGTTCATTTTGTCACCCAAACCAGATTAATCATGCAGCGAGGTGTTCTAAGGTACTGCTTGAGTTGGGGTTAAATGGAATTGGCTGAAAGGGAGGAAGAGTTCCTGTGGGTGCGGCGACCTGCGCCCTTGATGCGCTGCATCCTTGCCCATGGCCTGGACCACCTTGGCTACGAGGCATAGCAGAGGATTGAGAGAGGATGATAATGCAGCAGGGTTCGAGTCACCTACATTATTATAGGACGATTGGATCAGCCACAAGGTGGCCAGCAGCATTACTGGCCAGTGCTGTTTCAGCGCCTCGCTGCTTCTCAATTTGATAGGAGTAACCCCAGAATTTTGGTACAGAAAATGAATATCATAATGGTACTGCCTCACAGTACTACAGAAGCAGCTACATATAATATGTACATATGTATATGTACTCTATAAATGGTCAGAACATACTCAGGGAGTTGAATGGTAGCACTGATTTAGTAGTAGTGAATGGGCTGATTCCTGCAGCATCAATGGTCGCCATCAGATTCAAATGACTCGGAAACAATATCATGGGAAGCATCACACGAGTTGCTGCTGTCATCATCCTCATGGTCACCACAATTTGGGAACAGCCTGCTAAACTCGACCACCTTCGATGCATCGTTTCCACCTCTCCCTTTGCTTCTGATCAATGGCACACCGGTGTCGTAAAGATCATTTCGGAGTGAACCAATCTGCAAATCTGTTTTAGTCAGATGACCCTTGGATTCTTCATGCTCATCGCGGATGATGGCCATTATCAGCTCCAGTTCTTTGGTGCATAGGCGCTGGTATTCCATCTTTGCAGCAATGGTCCAGCGACTGACACGGGAAAGCTCAAGCATGCATTCTGTGAAATAGACTGTGGTGTCCGGGGGGCATTTGAAAGTGAACTAGGAATTGTGAGCTTTGGACTCCATTCAAGCAAGGGTAACCTACTGATGTGAATAGCGTCCTGGATCTTTTGCTAGGAAAGTGCCCATTATCCTCAAGTTCATTGTCCTCTTCAAGTAAACTATATTGATGTGTACGCTTGAAAGGACCATGTGTGGTGGCTGATGTGGGACTGCTCTTCTCATCAGGCACAGTGGTCGCGAAGGAGGCAGTACTCGCGGTGTTTAGACCACACCTATTCATGGGTGAGCTCTTCAGAAAGGGGGGGCTACTTGAGAGGGGGGAGCTGCTGCTGGGGATGGGGAAAATATTATTTGGGATGGGAGAGCTATTCCTTGGGGTGGGGGAACTACTCCTTGGGGCAGGGGAACTGCTCCTTGGGACAGGGGAGCTACTCCTTGGGATGGGGGAGCTAACCCTCTGGAAAGGGCTGCTCTCCAAGTTGGAGGAGCTTATGGAAGGACTATTCCTCGGTATGGCGTAGCTAGGAGATCTGGCAACTCTGACAAAGTAAAGAATCATTAAAAGTTCACAATAAAAATTAAACCAGTATACTTAGGCTCAGTTGACATCACCGGGGAGGTCTTCCTCGAGCTGAAAGAGCCGCTCTTCGATATGGGAGAGCTATTTGGTGCCACAGATGTGGGTGGTGATGAAACACTGTAGTGAGGATTGTGAATAGCTGGTGACCATGGTTAGTAAATTCAAAAAAATATACTGACCTCAGATTGTCAGATGTCCTTGCTGATGCAAATGAACTGCTGGTGCCACTTGTGTAAGGTATTAATAAAGATAAGTTCCAGTTCAAGCTTGTTGACTGTGAATAGATGCATCAACCAAACAGAAATTTCTCATGCAAGTGCGCAAGAATTTCTTTAAGTCCAGCAGCAACTCCGATGTGTTGCAAGAGCCGCCGCCTTCAGGGAGGTAAGTACTAAGCCATCATGATTGTTGACAGCTTCTGATCACACTTACTATGCAACATAACAGCAGTGCTTAGAGGACAGGACCCTGGGGAGGTAAGATATCGCAGTTTTTGTTCATAGTAGTCCTGATAAGCCTACATGTACATGATGACAATGCCAGCAGGAGTCAGGATCAGACTTTGACAGTTGACTGTTAGGAGGTGAGCCTGTTTATGGCTCTTTACCTGTCAACTTGATACTGTCAACATAGTCTCGGCCCTGGCAGGGTTCAGATACATTTATAAGGACCTCCCTCAACTCTAGGTGAGTCAGTAGCCCAAACCCCCTTGATTACTCAAAGCCAGCATGTCATCCTCACCTCCTTTGCTTGTTCCTCATGTAACTACTAGCAATCATACATATGCGTTCACTTGCCCCAACTGCACAGATATATTTGCAAGCAGTGACAACATCATCTGCCATCTGTCGACTACTGTTACCTGCGGTCAGCAGGTTGTTCAAGGTCTCACCTCAGACTTTGATCATGACAATTTGGAACATGAGCAAGATGGTGTGTGTATCTCACTCGATCAATGAAGGTCGAATTTTACTAGCATGTACCTAGTCTATGGTGAGCACGAGGGAGTCGATCTTTTGGACGACAACAAAGATGACAACAAAGACGACAACGACGTATTATCATTCAATAACCCGCCCCTTTTGTCTGCACCGAATTGTCACAACCCAATAACGAATTAACGCTGGGCAGAGACTAGGACTCAAACAAAGGTTATAGGACAAAGATGATGATGAGCAAGTACGTCTTGGATTGCTACAGTTGTAGATACAAGAGGTTTGAACTAAAGAACTATCGACCAAGACATGCTACCTATATACAACTATTGAGACGGAGATTGAAACTGAGTTACAACTACTAGCCAATCATAAAAAGAGAAAGAGAATCGTACCATAGAACATCGTAGAATATTAAAGAAGCATCACGTGACCATATCTTATCTTATCGTATCTAATCTAATCTATTCACAATCAAAGAACTCGTCTTCTTCATCAGTCACATCGAAGACACGTGTTGTAGGTGCTAAAGGTATTTCGGGAATGATAGACGCTTTCAGTGTAGGGTTAGGGTTTGGTTTAGGCGCTGTGTATTGACACTTAGGAAGATTTAGGAAAGAATAATGGTTTGTTAAAGGTACTCGTGACATTACCCCCTCTCTAAGGTGAGTGTCATCACGAACGAATGAAGGTCGGATATTCTTTTCTCTCCATCATTTGAAATCTTCCGTAAATAGTACTGAGCCTTTGATTCTTCGGTATTTTCCGACTGCAGCCGTGGGATTGTTCTTATGGAACTCCACTAAAGGAATTGGGGCGTTCTTCAAATTCTCTTCTGGCTCCCAAGATGACTCTTCCTTCGGATATCCTTCCCATTTCACTAGGTATTGCAACTTTCCTCGGAACAGTCGGCTATCTAGTACTTCTTCTACAGCAAATTCTTCCCAATCGTCAATCAATTCTGGAGGTGGTCGGTTGGGAGGGGGATGAGGAATCAATCGAGATGCGTGATATGGCGTAAGTAATTCTACATGGAAAACCGGGTGGATCTGATATTTTTCCGGTAATTTCAATTTGTAGTTCACTTCACCGATCTTCTCTAGTATTTCGAAGGGACCTAGACGACGATCTGACAGCTTTTGACTCGGACGACGTTGTTTGAGATTCTTCGCGTCAAGCCAGACCTTGTCTCCTACTTTATACTGAGGTGCTTCTTTTACTCCTTTGTCGTAGAAACACTTCATGCGCTCATTGACCATTTTAAGAGTATTTTCGGCATCATCTCTCGCTTCTTTCATCTGATCAACTCTCTCATCGGCGGTGGGGATTACGGACATGGAGTTTGGATGAATCGTGAAATCTGGGTTATACCCATAGAGAACTTTAAACGGACTATGACCGGTTACTGTGACTGCATTGTTGTGTGAAAACTCTGCTATCGGCAGCCAAGATACCCAATCATTTTGTCTATATGACGTGAACATGCGCAAATATTGTTCGACTTCCTGGTTTACGTGTTCAGTCTGTCCATCGGTTCTGGGATGATAGGAGGTCGACGCAGACCATTTTGTTCCTAATCTTTTTGACATCTGTCCCATGAACTTCGATATAAACTGAGTTCCTCTATCTGAAATCACTTTCTTTGGTGTTCCATGGTGTTTCCATATGTTTTTCAGAAATAGCTCGGAAATACCCTTCGAGTCTACGTCTTTGGTGGTGGGAATGAAGTGTGCTTGTTTCGAAAATCGATCAACGACTACAAAAATGCTATCATACTCTTCACTCTTCGGTAAATCCACTATCAGGTCACAGGTGATTGTCTGCCAAGGTCCTTCTGGGACTTCATTTGGCTGTAAAGGCCCCGTTGGTCTACTTGGAAGCACTTTCGTTTGTTTGCACCTATCGCAACCATCTACATAATCGTGGACATACTTTGTCATTGAAGGCCACCAATAGTTTCTGGAAATCAATTCTAAGGTCTTAGCTCGTCCAGGATGTCCAGCCGGTGGAGAGTCGTGAAACAACTCCAATATCTCTCGGCGGATTTCTTTGTCGTTTGGAACGTAAACTAATCCTCGGAATAACACCAATCCATCCTCCACATTCCATTCTTCGATTCCTCTACGCAATTGAACCGGTGCTGCTTTTAGCGTTTCTAATGCTTTAGCGACTTCGGGCTCTCGTTCTGTGCATTTTCGTATCTTTTGGAGTAAATGCTTTTCTCCATGCACCAAAACTTGACCTCTTTTAGCAGCTTTTACAGTAAAGAATTCCGGTTTCAAAAGAATGCGATCTGAGTTATCGTTTTCTACCCCCCCTCTATGGTCTGATCTCCGAGAAAGACGGTCTGCTTTGTCATTAACCACACCAGGCTTGTGTTGGAGTGTAAATTCATACTCCGCTAGGAAAAGACTCCATCTAGCTTGCCTTCTGGTCAACTTTTGACTTGTCATGAAATATTCAAGGTTCTTATGATCTGTCCATATTTCAACTGGGTGAGGTGCTCCCTGCACATAGTGCCTCCACTCCTCCAATGCTCTAATGATCGCTAATAACTCCTTATCATGAATGTCGTAATTTCTTTCCGCATCATTCATTGACTTAGAGTAATATGCTACTGGATGCCATAATCCATCTTCCATGAGTTGAGAGAGAACCGCTCCTGTTGCGTAATCTGAAGCATCGGTCTCTATTTTATTTTTCTTCTCAACATCTGGCATGACTAGAACGGGGGCTTCTGTGAAACGTTTCTTAAGTTCATCAAAAGCTTTTTGTTGTTTCTCTGTCCAGTCCCATTTGGCATCTTTTCTTAGCAGATCATTCATTGGTCTGGCTATATCCGAGAACCCCAGTATGAATCTTCGATAGAAGTTGGCAAAGCCCATGAATGCTTGGATATCTTTTACGCATTTGGGAACAGGCCATTTCAATACTCCTTCTACTTTCACGGGGTCCATTGACACATTGCCTTCTTCCACGATCAACCCGAGGGACTCGACTTTAGACTGTTCGAAGCTACATTTCTCAGGCTTCAAGAACAGGTCATTCTCCTTTAATCGTTTCAGGACTTCTCGTACCACCTTTCGGTGCTGCTCCCTATTTCCATTCGTAAAGACCATTATATCATCAATGTAGATGACTACTGTTTTGCCATCTATTAGGTCTCTTAGAATTTCATTCATCATAGTTTGGAAGGTTGCAGGCGAGTTTGTGAGTCCAAAATACATCACGGTCGGTTCGTGGTGACCAAACGGCGTTTTGAAGGCCGCCTTCCACTCATCTCCTTCTTTCATGCGAATATTATTGTATCCCCATCGTACATCCATCTTGGAGTACATCGTGGCACCGGTTAAAGCATCAATTAAATCTTGAGATCTCGGTAGCGGATATGCATTTTTCACCGTCTTCTCATTGAGCTTTCTATAGTCCATTACCGGTCTTAACTTGCCATCTTTTTTGGCTACAAAGAAGAAAGGTGCTGCTACTGGAGATTGTGAATTTCTGATACGTCCCAGTGCAGTCTCGGTTTTCAACCATTCCTTCAGTGTATCCATCTCTTTGGGTGACAACGGATAGGGTTTCGCATTTGGCAGAAGATCGCCCTCATCTTTAAGATCTATCGCATGATCCCACTTCTTTCTTTCAGGGAAGCGCTTAGATTCTTCTTCTGAGGAAACTCCCAGGTAATCATGAAGCCAATCAGGTACCATTTCTTCTACCGACTGCTTCTTCTTAGTAGCTTCTTCTGCTACCTTCTGTTCCGTGGCAACTGAGGCTTTATAACGAATCCATAGTCTCTCCGGACTTTCTTCGTCTTCTATTTCCTCAACCGTCGCCCTTTTCATCGACATATCTTCTTCATCCTCGTCTTCATCGTCCGTAGGAATTAGATCAGGTACATCATCTATCTTTTTTTGTTCTTTTCTTTTTTCCTTCTTTTTTTGTTTCTTTTCTTTTTTAGTTTCACATTTTACAGGGCATCGAGAAAGTGCAAATCGTCCTGCATTCCAGTCAATTTCTGGATTATGATATCTTAGCCAATCTATGCCGATAATAACATCATCGCTTCCTAAGTCTGTGACCATGAAGGCTGCTTTTTCTTCTTCGTGATCACCAATCTTTAGACCTAGTTCTGCAAAATGAGTCATCAATCCGGCAGCATTTAGTGATCCATCAATGTTCCTGACTGAAATAGGCCTTAATAATTTACGGCATTTCACACTGTTCTTTTCAACAAACTTCTCACTGATAAATAATGTTGATGCACCGCAATCCACAAGTGCTTTTACGTCTGCTTGTCAGTTCTTTCCTTTCAACGTTATTGGAATATAAAAATGCTCAGATTTGGATCTAATATGTACTTCTGATACATCTTGAAACATAGAGAGAATAGAGAAACGATTGTTCGGGTCTAGGTCTGCAGACTTTGACTTCAACCCCTTTAAAAATCCTTGCCTTTGTTAGAAGCGATCCAATCTGTGAACCACTTCGGCGCGGAGTTTTCTTCGACAACAGCAGCCGCTTTGACTTGCGCTTTTGGTGCACCTTTACAGTTTCTCGCTATGTGGCCTTGTTCTCCACAGCGGTAGCAGGTGAAAGCGCCAGGCTTTCCTTGGGGTTTGGGAGATCCCCTCTGCTTGCCGAAGTCCACATCCATAGTGTCACTGTCTTTGCTAGGACCAGCCTGCCTTGGGTTATTGAAGGTTCTTGTGGTTTCCTTGTTAGGGGTCCACCAATGACTCTTCTTTTTCTCAGTGTCTAACTCTTCGTAGTTACGTCCAATCTGTATGGAGTAATCGATGAGCTTCTTAAGGGTGTCTTTCTCAGACGCTGGAATATGAGCGAGTTGCTCTTTGATCCGGGTTTGTAGGCCAGATCGGAATTTGAGGCGGAGGTCGTAGTCTGAGTATTTGGTGAGTGCAGCCTTCTGCTTGAAAGCTGCTGCGTATTTGGGCACTGATGAAGATCCTTGCTTCAGGGTTTCCAACTCCCTGATAGCCTTTCCTTCTCTGTCGTCTTGTCCCCACATGGTTTCGAATTCTTTCGTCCAGTCCTCAAAGGATATTGGCTTGGAATCAAGCTCAATTACGTATTTCTGCGCCCATTTAGCAGCAGATCCTTTAAGGAAAGACAGGGCAGTTGTAATCTTCTGCCTGTCCGTGATCAGTGGCCATTGCGACATGTATAGTGCCAACTGAGTCGTGTAGACTTCTATGGAGATCGAATCTTTGTCTCCAGTGAATTCTGTGGGCTTCGACAATTTGACTTGCGAAGTATTCGGGGATTGTGCAAATCTTTCTAGCTTCTTCTTTAGTTCCTCTATTTGTGAGTTTTGGGTCCTGAGTTGAAGCTCCTGTGTTGCGTTTTGTGCCCGAAGTGTATTGTTGTGGTTAAGGAGTTCTTGTGTCCTTACGTACAGTTCATGTGCTGCCATGGTAATGGCATTCTGTACATAGTTGGTGAACTCTATCGGCATAGCTATGCCTTGTGGTCCTGGTTCCCCTTGCTCTTGTGGTTCTTGGGGGTTTTCAGCAGGTCCCATGGTAGCTTCTGCGACTTCAGCCATAGTGCCAGGTGCGTTCTGGAATCCGATTCACTAATGACTGTTGAAGAGCGGGTCGTAACGGCTCTTCTGGATAGGAAAGATGATGAAAGGAAAGAGGGAAAAAGGATACGTAAATGGAAAGCTAAAGGGGTCCCCAGTACTAACTGGATCAACCTCGTCCTTTAGGGTCAAAGGGTTCTTTAATCAACCCGACTGACACTTCCCTAATTACTAACTAGAAAGGAATACGTAAAACTATGCTTTGTTAAGTGGGAAAAACACTGTGTGCTTCGTGTGTGCTACTTCTCAGTCACCGAAAGGGTACAGGTCTAGGACAAGTTATCACTCTTCCAGCTGAAGCTTACAAGTGCGAGTCTCACTAGAATCCCATATCTAAATCCTCGTGGTAACGATGGTAGGACTATCCGCAGATGCGACAGTTCCACTAGACTTAACAAAAGGTTCTACATGCGTATGAAGAAAGATGTAGGTATGAAAGTAACTATAGTAACGTTGAGCAGGCAGGGTCTTGGGCCAGCACTCAAAGTTGTAGCGAGACGCCTAATGTCGTCAACACCTCCATATACTGGCGGCTGCAATGTAAGGCAGGGCCTGGTATAGGACTACTAACTACTAAAGGCTATTCGTGAAAAAGCTCAAGCGAGCAAAGTGATGGGTTTCAGAAAATGATTGCGGCTGTTTAGGCCGGGCAATGGAAAACGTGTAGTGGTGATGAGAGATGTGCGAGCGGTGTGCAAAGAGTCGGAGTCTCCTATAGTTCAAACCTAATGTCACAACCCAATAACGAATTAACGCTGGGCAGAGACTAGGACTCAAACAAAGGTTATCGGACAAAGATGATGATGAACAAGTACGTCTTGGATTGCTACAGTTGTAGATACAAGAGGTTTGAACTAAAGAACTATCGACCAAGACATGCTACCTATATACAACTATTGAGACGGAGATTGAAACTGAGTTACAACTACTAGCCAATCATAAAAAGAGAAAGAGAATCGTACCATAGAACATCGTAGAATATTAAAGAAGCATCACGTGACCATATCTTATCTTATCGTATCTAATCTAATCTATTCACAATCAAAGAACTCGTCTTCTTCATCAGTCACATTGAAGACACGTGTTGTAGGCGCTAAAGGTATTTCAGGAATGATAGACGCTTTCAGTGTAGGGTTAGGGTTTGGTTTAGGCGCTGTGTATTGATGCTTAGGAAGATTTAGGAAAGAATAATGGTTTGTTAAAGGTACTCGTGACACGAATCCTGAGCAACATCATCTCAGTATACCCGAGTCAGACTATGACACCCTGCTTGCATCTGTTGACCCTTTGGCAGGTCCACGTCCTGGCACATTGAGGGATTACCACCCCAATGTGCTAATTGCCCACCCCGGAGGGGAGAATCATCTTCAAAAAATGGACTGTGATGTTGTCTTAATAACCGAGGGTCTTATATAAAGTCGTGTAAATGTAATGACACCACAATTACACTTTGAATAAGACTGCTTGCCAGTCCTCGATTAACATGGTCTACGACTTTTCCTATTTCATGGTAGATAACGTGTGAGTTCTTGGGAGGCTCGCTAAACTAATCTTTTTATAAAGATCAACCTAGCTGGAGCTTTACTTTTCTTTATTGAAACTCAAATCTCTTGTCTAGGAATAAGCTTCTAGACACATAATTCGGTTTCTGGAAAGTATTTGCCTAGGAAATCTCCTTCTAGGCTCTGGACTTGGATACTGGAACTAGTGAGACATGGTCTCAAATATACAAAATATGACCAAGATCGCTTGGTCTATGGACACTTGACTGTGAGACAATGGTCTCAAATATATGATATATGTTCAAGATCGCTTGAACAAAGGGGACTATAACTTGACCAAGATCGCTTGGTCTATGGGACTAGTGAGACGTGGTCTCAACAATATGATAGATGACTAAGATCGCTTAGTCAAAGGGCATAGAGCAATGAGACAAAGGGGTCTCAAAGACAATATATATGACCAAGAACACTTGGTCTATAGCACTAAATAAGTTTCTAAGGTAAGAAACTTATAATCTCAAGGGAATTCTTTTCCCTGCACTTGTCTCACTTCAAAGGGACTAACTTTGCAAGTGAAATATCTGATAGGCAGATAGCTACAAATGGGAGATCATATTTTTTTGGGGGGAGAATGGGCTCTCCTTATATACATTTTGTGTGGGAAAGTAACCTAGGTTCACAAACAATAAAAAATAAGGAGGACCAATCAAAATATTGGGTCAAACCCAATAAAAGAATAAAATACAAGTGAAAAATGGAGCTATGACATCATTGTGGAGCAGAACATTCTGGAATGTGGAGTAATGACATCATAATGACATCAAGAGTGACATCATTGTGGAGCAAAAGATTCCAGAACCTTCCATGAGTGAGTCAGAGTGAGTCATTGTGGAGCAGAATATTCTAGAAGGAAATGACATCATGAATGATGTCATTGTAGAGTAGAATAATCTAGAGCTTGATGACATAATATCTTTCAACAGAATACCTGCAGGAGTATCTGTGGAGTTTTATGACATCATAATGACATCATACCCTATGGGTACAATTTTATGAAGTGTCAGGTGAGTCAAAGCATCCTAATGAAAAAGTAAAGTAAAGAAACACTAGAGAAAAGTAGGTAGCAAAAATAAGACAGTTGGCAGGAATTGAAACATGGTCTTTTTGGATAGGTTTTTTATTGGCTTTGTACTTTTCTCTATGGTTTTCTCTAGCCAAAGTGAATAAGTTGTGTAAGGCCACATGCGTGGCAAAGCCCGCTACCTAGCCAAATATATCGTAAATATCCTTTCCACGCAGACAACTGCCGTCAGACAAATGCTGCATCAACATCTGTAATAGAGCTTCCCGTGAATCTGCTGATTGAAATTGTATGCCATGAAGTGTAGCATATGCATGTAAAGAAGAATGAGATAAAGTTTCGAAACCGAGAAACAATTCTTTGAACAGCACATCATCTTCTGAAGACTTCACACATCAAAGGAATAGCAATCAAATCAAATCGGCACGATTCACATGAATAAGCGAATTCTGTTCTCCCGCAGCACCAACAATATCTTTGAGAGACGCGATGGATAATACAGATGGTAATGAAAGCAATACCTCTCAAACTATATAACCAAGCAATGAATGAACATCCGAAAACGCTCGACAAATGAGTCTACAAGCCTTGGGACCGGTTCGCCCTGCTCCCGCGTGGATACAGACTCCAGAAAGGAGATGTCGCAAAACCTGAATGTTCATCTGTTCTGGTGAAAAATCGTTTTCGAGTCCATGATTCCGCAGAAGAGGTAATAATTGAGTAGCATCCGTTGACGAAGCTGAGAACAGCATGTCTTGTATGAGATATTCTCCTTTAACGGAATCAGCAGATTTAAAACTGGGAGTATAAACCTTCACTGGCATGGATGACCCATAATTTAAACTGTTATCGTCTGAACATACTACATCTATGTCAGTAAATTGTGAACCGGAGAAGAAAAGAACGAACCAAAACAACACGGATGTTCAGGCAGTTGAACATCACGATGATTGTCACTTATATTCCAACAATATTCTAACCAATCGCGACCAAAAACATCACTGCATGCATCATTGACGACGAGAAACAAGAAATCTGTCGAAAGATTGATAATGCCATCGGTAATAAAGACGAGAGCACGAATGCGAACATCTGGCACAATGTTGCTACGTCGAAGGCGCCGAGTGAGTAGTTGTGCAGTTACAGAGGAGAACGAAACAGAATGATCACATGAGGCGACGACGTCAACACCCTCGAAAGTAAGGGACATAACAATAGAATATGGACATCAAACAGGCAAAGGTATAGAACGGAACAACACAGTGCAAGCATGCACGAACCACTGTGAGAATTTTTCGCCATTTGTATACTGATCAAATTCCAAAACACAATGCCCCGTAGAATCGCAAAAAAACCTGACTGGAAAGACCCACTACCTAAAGGTAGCGGGAATAAGCCAAAGGCAAGGCTATACCTTAACCTTCATTTCTCTTCTCACATCAACTAGGTCTAAATGTGATTCCCATCTCACATTAGACTTTTTCCGTCAAAACATATTCAGATCATGAAACTTGGGGAAAACTGGAAATATGAACCATGGTTTGAAACCAAGGTATGGGTTGACTAGTCTGAGGACTAAGCTAACAGACTTTATCTTTTGAGGGTCACCTAGTATTCATGTCCATGCATGATTCCCACATCATGCAGGACAACATACATGCTGCTATCTGCCACATGGAGAACCTTTACTATCCCTTTGCATTGAAAGCTGAATTTGACCTGGGATATTGGCTTTCGGAGGCGGCGTTATTGCAAAAAGAGGTTGATGTGTTTCTCCACCTTGAGCATGTAAGTTGTCTGATGGCGGTTCACGCAGTATATGTCAACAATAGATACAGACCAAGAACAACCCACCTTCATTCATCACATTGAGGGATCTGTGCATTCGGATCAAAGGATTGCCTGAAGTACCTTGATGGTACCATCAACAAATCAAAGTTGGTTCGTACAAGATGAAAGCACCTTTGATGATCTATTGGAGGGATGGTCTTGAGGTCGTGAAGCATCAATTCGCCAACCCAGTCTTTGTGCCTTGTATGGACTTCCAACCGTACCGGGAATTTGAAGGCCCGGACAATCAAAGAGCTTACAGAGAGTTTATGAGCGCTGATATTACCTGGGAGATACAGGTAGATGGTGTCACCAACGGTCATGATGGACTTGGACTCACTATCGTCTTGTTAGGATAAACTTCCTCCAGGTCATTTGTTCATTGGCATGATTGGCGCTTCTGACAAGACACCTCTGACCATTGGAACCGGAAACAAGGAGATGCATCCCCTGCTAATCTTGCTTGCTAATATCCATGCAGGTGTTCACATGAAGGCAAGATCACATGCATTCACTTTGGTTGCTTACCTGCCAATACCAAAGTTCCTCGATGTTTCAAAGCCTGTTCATGCGATGTTATCTGTGTGAGTCTATCATTTTGCAGTTTCAATTGTCATGCGTAATTTGAAGCTTGCTGCTCATGATGGCTGCCCTATGTCAGACCCAAGAGGAGATTTGCGCATGATTCATACGCCTCTGGTCACTTGGATAGCCGACTACCCTGAGCAACTGCTCATCACATGTACAGCCTCAAAATGTTCCCCAATCTCTCTTGCTACTGCTGTCCAATTTGGAGATCCTCTCCCACATCCTCCTCAAACTCATTTTGACACTCTCAATGCCATCAAAAGGGCATGCACTATTTCAGATCCCTGTGACATCGCATCCTTCTATAAGACATGTCAAACACTTCATCAGGAAAACACACAATTTAGGTAGGCAGGTGTTGCCTATATATGCCTATGTAGACAGCGACAATCTAGATTAGGGCACAAGTGTCTATGATAGGCCCTGTAGGCATTGTAGGCATTCCACTCTGTAGACCCTATAGGACCTAAAATTTTCACCTCAGTATCACATCTTTGCATAGATTCATCCAACTACATCACTCCCAGCCACTGACACCATATTTCACTCGTGGGCCTCAATACTACCTCCGATGGATCATAACTTGAAGTCATTAAAATGGTGTGAATAATGGTGACCTCTTGAGATGCTCACTCACTGACACCTTGGCACAGCTCAAACTCAGAGACTGATGGCACTGCTGTAGTGCCAGCTACACCCTCTGCCAGTGTGAGTGAACTTGACATTGATGATACCTTACTGCTGGACGAGCCCAACATCAAGTGCAAGTGGTAAGACATTTACACACATCTTGATGCCAACATATATGAACTTTTCTTGCAGTCCTTGTCTTCACCAGTGGGTTAGCCTCCAGTTAGAAAAGCGCCAGAAGGAGGAAGCCTTGGCTTTGCAGTGCTTTCAGGAACAGGTGCAGGTGGATGAGGTACGGCATCAACAGGATAGTGGTGAGTGCATTCCTCAGCCACTAGCACTCATGTATTGAATACATGTCCATCCACACTAGAGATCATTGAAATTACAGTCGGATATCTATGAGAACTCATTCAAAACCGCTGGGATACCGAGAAGTCACTAGCCAAAGCCTGCTGTCAAGTTCAATTGCTCAACATCAACACATTCCAGCGCTCCCACCCGCAAACTTCGCCATCAAACATAGACTCGGAGCCAGGAGATTCGACTATTTGTGCAGACAATATTTAGACAGTGTGTATGTAAGTAGGAATACAAAATCCAACACATCATGCGAGGTATCATGTGGTGCCACGGAAATTGTAAAAACTATGCATGTCTATCCACGGGTTAAGATAGAAAGTTTTACAGATATCCAAGACATTCTCCGCTCTCCAACTTCTGTTAATGTTCATGCCAAACTTCGGTAAGAGATGACAACTACCTATGATGCGACTCATGGGTATGACTTCTGTGCGAGGGCCTTGACCAGAGTAAGACCGCAAGACAGAGTGCATTTTCATCACTCCGTCACACACACGGAAGGGAGTGAACCACTCAATGAGTGCGACTTGATATGGTTGGCCACTGATTTGCAGGTGTGATGGAATGTTAAACAACAGTCAAACCTGCACGACTTGTAGCCCTGGTGAGATTTTTTCAGCCCACACAGGCCAAGACTCAAGGAAATACAACCGACTTACCCTCCAATCCAGTACCTCGAGTATGCACATTCAAATTCTCATCTGGGTCCAAAGTCCATACAAGGACAGTATCAAAATGTGCTGGAGATGCTGCTGAACGTCCCAGTGCCGGCGAGAATGGAATGGCCCGTATTCTGTCCATGGACTTTGTCATGTGAATGGCGCGCAGCTTGGGGTAAGGTATTGATAGATGATGGTAAGCATCAAATTGATCCTACTGAGAGAGTACTGGTGTTGCCATTGAACTTGAATAAGACTGAGAACCATTTGGCAGTGATGTGGTGCGGAGATACAAATTCAAGGCTGGCATGAAGTTGAGGCCACCAAAAGTTTGGGCAATAGAAGCCACTGTCAAAGTGCAAAAAGGTGGCCGTGCTGCAAGGATGCGAGATAGTGATGTCACATCTTGATTAGGCAGGTGTCATGTTACATCTCCAACTTCTACTTCCGCATCATCTCCATCAGTTTGAGTCTCATCTTTCTCATCCACACCATCTCTTTGTAACCTCCAATCAAGGTAAGCTTCAAATTGATCCATGGCCTCTTGGCATGCTAACCATCTTGTCATTTGGACCACATAGTCCTTCCAATTTGTTGCCTGGTATGCGTCCTTTGCAAAGTCTATGTGCAGCTGCTCAGGAAACTCTGTATTGAAGTCATCAGCCGAACCCCTGGACTTGATAGATTTGATGTAGTGAACCATTGAGTGCAGTTTAGGTATGTTGAAGTCTCCACATACACCAAGGTCCACAAAAATATGCTTATGTTCGTAAAATTCATCTAGTGCAGATTGCAGAGCATTCAGGGACTGCAAAGTATGCGAATGAAACTGTGCATAATATATAAAATCGAGAACGGCGCGGGCTGCTCGAGCTACCTTTGGTTGGACAGCACCAGCCAAGACCCCCATGAAGACACACTGCATTTCTTGATGTTCAGTCCCTGTCCATTGAGACACAAGGGAAATTCCCTGTGAGAAGTAGCGAAGGCCAGGGTAATTTGTCATGGTGCGGTAACATTCGTCAATTTCTCTTTCTCCTGCAATCTCCATACACCATTTTAATAGATGGTCATGGAATACACCCTTGTGCAATTGGTGCAAGATGTCCGGTGTGATAGATGCAAAGATGTTGGCCAAAGGGAGATCAGCCCAGAAGGGGTGATATACAGGACGCAGACCCTCACAAGTGTATGCAGCTACCCGCCATCCTGTTTTTTGTTGCTTTAACATTGTTAATGTGCGGTCTGGGTCTCGTAGGAGTGATGTTAAGGGTTTGCCACGACTATCGCGGGGGACATGACACTTTGGACAGTAACTTTCCTTCGTGCATGCAATCAAGCATTGTTCAGGATGATCTGCAACATAGGCAGCAAGAATTGGGTGGACTCGTTGCAGTCGCCCATCTGCACAGACCATGTCAACACCTTCACGCCCAGCTGCAACAAGAGGCTGTAGAAGCCGGTGCATGCATTCATGAAAAAGCCGGTAACCAGCGACGGAGCGTGTGGTCTTACTGAAACAGTCTAACTTGGCCACAGGCAGATATCCAATGAGTATGGCTGCATGCTTTCAAGGTTTCCAACCCCCGCGAATACATCATGTTCCCCCACCTATGGCGTCAGTTCAAGGTTTGTGCCCACTCAACTTAACAGTGCCCGACACCATCCTGTCTGGTCCTGGGGGACATGTAAGTAAGGTCATTTGCATGGTACTCCCCACTGAGTTGCTTGTACAGGGAATGCCAATACCTTTGAGTGGTGGGCCAGCAGACCCACCACCAGGCACTAGATTTAATGCATGGACGGGCATGTTTGACAGCATCTTGGATATCTCCAGCCATGAGCTCACAGCAGCCGATCAACACAGTTCACCCTCACCCTTTGCACAGATCCCTGGTACTCGGAGTCTCAAATGGCCAGCACCTGCACTGGGTATGGCTGAGGGCTTACAGGTAGTCCAAAAAGTCAAGCTCGGTGATGGTGGTAGCCGGGGTCGAGTTCATTGCAGTGACTTCGATGGACTTTATTCAGCCATCATACAACTAGCCATAAGTCACTATCAGTGTGTCCTTACCAATAGTTCGATTTATCCCAATGATGTTGAACATTGGGACTGGTCCGCTGAGGCATGGAATGCAGCCTGTCGTGCCAATGGAGTCAAAGTTGAATACAATGAAGATGCATACAAACTGGTATGTTCTCACATTTCAGATACTGTTGTTTAGTTGCTTGTTGTCCCACAGATCACATCACGTGGCTCAAATTTACGGAGTGAACTCAAGAACCTCATGTGCCCACTGGTTGAAGCTGATTTTGGCTTTGTCAATGAAAAGACACCAGTGATCATTAAGGCGAATGCTACACTAGCAGCAGCTGTGGTGGAGAATCGTAAAATTTTGACATATAAGGTATGTTGATTTGAGTAGCTGGCACAAGGCACTCATGGCTAGCAATAGGACTGTCAGGCATGCAAAGGTGCTTATGAGGCAGACATTATTCTGAAAGGAATGATCAAGTGGTGTTACAACAAGAAATCTTTGACAGGTGTCAAATATCCAACCTACTTCAAGGATGCAGAGAGTGGCGGCACTACATTTGGGATTGTCATGGCACTGTTACCATAGCAATTATGATCCAGGAGTTAGGAGCCATTTCTGGACTCTGTGAATCACCCAGAATATTCTCGTAGTTCTTAGTTGCATTGCAAAATATTATTGTTCATTCACCGTCATACTCCGTCACTTGTTATACTCGTGCATACTGCTCGCAATCCGACACTCATTATAAAGTTTCCGACCTATTACTGTGAAGTCCAAAAGTCCGAAATCTCGGACATTGCACTTTGGCTTCGGACATTGTTTCGCACCATCAGACATTCTGTTATTTGCATTACTGACACATTTTTACTACTAATACCAATTAGCAATCCCTTTAGGATCGAACGCACTTGCTCTGCAAGTATAGCAGCATAGGTTGTGCTAAGATCTACCTAAACATTGTTGACTAGGTAGTACAATTTCCGCTGAGCCCAGCAGAGATTTACTCTTTACACTGTCAAGTGGTCAATAAACATCATGGGGGGAGCGGAACTCGATCATCGACTATCATCTCTTCAACCTCGTGTAGGAGTGCATCATTGGGCAAATGGCATCTCCACGCTGAAACAGCTCACAGGTTGAGAACATCAAGATCTTGAGAAGCTCCTTCCTGGTGTGATTGTGGGCACCATCACCGAATTCATCTTCCAAGCACAGAATCTCTTCCTGTATGACGAGACTTTACATTCTTTATCTGAAGCCCTACACGAATTTCACTACTACAAGGACTTCATCCTAACATTGGGTGGCTGCCATGGCAAGAATGGTCCTCTTCATCACTTCCAGATCCCCAAGCTAGAGTTAATGCAGCATGTCATCCGGAGTACTTGAGCCATGGGTGCTCCATATCAATGGACCAGCGATATCAATGGACCAGCGATATCAATGGACCAGCGATATCACTGAGCGATGCCACATCACTCATGTAAAATGGCCTTACCGCACATCCAATCGCAAGAATTTCCACAGTCAGTGCTGCTGCTTCCTCAACTGGCAGGAAAAACTTCAATTTTTCCAGCTTTACACAGTTCTGAAGTCACAGCAGGCAAGTCTGATCTATGAAATGTCCAGGGAAGCAAACACAATGGCCCTCCATTATCCCGAAGCAACTTGGATCTCCACTGTTCTGCCTGGCAAGCAGTACATTGTTGCTGGCAAGCCAATCACTTCTCTTTTTGACAACAATCACACTTGTTTTTCTTCTGATGACACTGTCGCCATCCTTCTTACTTGTCATCCACATTTTCCTCACCAATCTATTGAAGAAGCTTCCCAACGTTTCCACATTCCCAATCTCTGTCCAGCGCTGGGTGACTTGATCTCTGGTAGATCTTACCTCGAGCGCAATGGAAGGCAAATATGTTGCCCCAACTGTTCCCTCTCCTTTCATTACCTTCACATGTGGCAAAAATTCCGCATGCAGCAGTGCGCTATGCAAGATAGTCGTATTGTTAGTCCTGCTCACACCATTCAGGCACTACCACCAAGTTCTTCAATGCCGTTCGGAAGGGGAGACACTGTCTTAATCACTCACAAAAGTGGTGAGCTACTTTCCCCAGCAGTGTCCAAACGTACATGTATGATTTTTCCTTATATCTTCTTTGTGTCTCAATGCCAGAATCTTAGGGTATCTCATTGTCCAAGTAAAAGCTATTATCCAGCCTGTTACCAAAACACCACACTTGAACCAACCATTCCTTTACACCAAATTTTTCAACTTTTCTCAATCATCATTCAGCACCATCAACAATATCCGTTTTGTTACTCCAGTTCCTGTTACCAACATGTTTTCAGTTCATCGTTGTGTTCGATCAAACTGCGATCCCTTGGGAGATATAGTGCCTCTGAGCAGTGTATGTCAAGTCATCGAGCTTATTCCCAAGTTCGGTTGAGAGGTGCTGTGGCGATGACACTTTAGCGTGTGAGGTTCGAGGTCAGCGACACAAGAAGAAGTGTTCCTAAGGTAATAACAGTTTCAAAGTCTGCTAGTATTCCAGAAAAACACTGCCGTACCACTACGTATTGATACAGCCTTTATACTACGAGGATGCAGAAGATAACAGAGTCAAAAGGCGAAGGGGATGAATACAGGTAGCTGCCCCCTCAGCCGAAGGGCGATGGGCAGCAACTGTAGTACAGGGATCAAATGAGTGTAATAACGGTTAGGCAAGAGTGAGAACGCTAAGTCATGATGATACAGAACCGGCTGGGTGACACCATTGTAGAAAGCTGATTTCCACTGGGCTCAGCAGAAATCGTACTACCTAGACAACAAATATTTTGGTAGATCTTAGCATGACCTATGCTGCTATACTTGCAGAGCAAGTGCGTTCGATCCTATAGGGGTTGCTAATTGGTATTAGTAGTAAAAATGTGTCAGTAATGCAAATAACAAAATGTCCGATGGTGCGAAACGATGTCCAAAGGTAATCCGATGATGTCCGAAGGTACTTATCCAATGTCCGAAGCCAAAGTGCAATGTCCGAGATTTCAGACTTTCGGACTTCACAATAATGAGTCGGAAACTTTATAATGAGTGTCGGGTTGCGAGCGGTATGCGCGAGTATAACGAGTGACGGAGTATGACGGTGAACGAATGGTAATATTTCGCAATGCAACTAAGAACTACGAGAATATTCTGGGTGATCCGCAGAGTCGGGAAACGGCTCCTAACTATTGGATGATGATTGCTACGGGTCACTACAGAGTATTTAAGTAAGTACATAGAAATTCGGAAAACTACAGGTGAAGATAGTAGCAATATATTTCGGGTCCGATGTCTTATGTAATAAGACATGAGGTGCTGCGGACATGTAATAATGCGGTCCGAATGTCAGAAAATGTGCACGGAAATAACTACGCACCTAGTGAGGCTAGTTCGGATGGACAAGACATGGGATGGACAAGTGCGCGCGAAGTGCGATCGGCCAATGCGATGTCCGAAGGTCCGATGCACTGGATCCGATACGGAGTGGCTCGGACATGTGCAAAAGTGCGTCGGACATGTGCGCATATGTTTCAGGTGTTGACGTGAGTATGGAAATACGTGGTTTTGAGCCCAATGCCGCGACCATCGCTACACCGTTACATCTCCCCCTCCAGGCAGACACCAGTCTTCCTCAACCCCCTCTTGTGATTCCTCCATTCAATCCATTGAGGCAAAGGGCACTTTGGTCGCCTCGCTGGTTGAGGCGACCACAACCGGGTGCGTGGTGGGCATGCCAATGTCCTTCCTAATCCTTCCTAACCCGTGCTTCTTCAGCTTCTGGTCTTGCTTCCTCCCATAGTTCTTTTCCTTCCATTGAGCAGTGTGACACACCTCAATCTTCTCGCGCTGGTGAGTGGCATTCAATGCAGTCTGCCATACCATCTTCTCCATTTGTTCCATACGCATGGGCGACACAGTGATCTCCACATCATCGTCCTCTTTGCCTATGATGTTGGCCAATTCGATGGCTGCTTTGGGGTTGACGACAGTACTGTGCTCATCGAGGTACGAGGCACTGGAGTGCAACACCTCACTGTTAAATGCGTGGGTGAAGAAGTCATAGCCCAAGGGGGCTGGAGGACGGGAACACAGAGATTTGTTGCGGAGGGCATGTGAGTACTCGACGAACAGTCTTAGCTGGTCGCGGGTGATAGTGACTGACTCCTCTGGGTTATCTGGGTTACTGATGAGGATGTTGGGCCCATGCCTCAAAAAGTATGAGAGGGTGCTGTCTTCGGGAGATACAGACATGGCGAAGACGGTGAGTTTGGTTTCCTCAAACTAAGAGTCGGAGGATGGTGACGCGGAAGATGTGATGGTGGGGAACAAGGATAGTGAGGATTCTCCAGGCGGAGGTGTCGGATAGGTGGAGGCGGGCATAGGTTTTATACTCCCAAGCAAGACCTGCCCTAATAACAGTCGGGAGTCGTCACTAGGGAGTTTCCCCCGCCCCGCTGGCAAATTATTGATGTTAGTGGCTCCAACTAAATCCAGATACTCAGCTAATGCATCAAGGTGTGATATATCAGCGTAGGGTAGCCAGGTAACGTCCCCGGCCCTCCACTCCACTTCAAAAGTGGCCTCTTCGCTGGCGCTGGTGTGTGACACGATTCGTTTGATGGCCCATTCAGGTTCTCGTTCGTCGTCAAAGTTTAAGACCTGAGCGTCTGACCACCCTGGGAACTTTCAGTCATCGTTGGGCAGGTGTATGCAGAGCAGGGATGAGTGGAACACCGGGTGAACACCCCAGCTGCGCATTCTACTAGGTAAGTCAATCATAAACGAATTATTACCGTAGTCTCGGGTGATCTTATACAGTCCCACATATTTGGGTATGAGCTTGCGTGCCAGGCCCTTCGGCAGGGCCATGTTCTTTGTTGACACGTAAGTCAAGTCTCCTTCCTTAAAGGGACATAGCTGATGTCGTCAGTTAGCGTGTTGTGTTTGTTTCACATGTGCCTCGAGCATAGAGTCATGTGCACTCATTTGAGCTAACTTCATCTTTTGCAGGTAGGCTTTCACGCTGGGGTACTCATCCTTTGTTGGATTGTTCCATACCATGACCCTGGGGGTGCGTCTAGTGTTGGCCTCAAATGGTGAGAGCAGGGTAGTCTCAGAGCTCGCTAAGTTGATGGCAAATTCGATTGCAGGTAGCTTGGACACCCAGTCCGTCTGGGACGGGGACACTATAGACCTGAGCATCTGGGTTACCATTCTGTTGGCTCGTTCTGTGGCTCCATCCGACTCAGGGTGGTAGGCGCTGGACATGTTTTGCTGGATTCCCATCAGGGCATTCAGGTGAGTCCAGAATGTGCTGGTAAACAGAATGTCTCGGTCACTAACAATTGACTTAGGTAGTCCATGATGCTTGTAGACTTCGGCAAAGACAAGCTCCGCTACTTCTTGCGCCATGTAGT